GGCTGCTGTACAACTGTTGACTAATTTTTTCTAAGCTATTGCATGGCAACGTAATAGGTAATGAGGTCAGATTGTTCATAATAAAAGTTGTTAAAAGTTATGTGAATATGATATATATATATTTTTTTATACCTTTCTCTTGTGGAATTCTGGTTATTAGCATGGAATATGGTGTGCCATACTGTCACTTTCTGTATTGTCTCAGATACTGATTGAACTTCGTTTCCGTTCAATTTTGGATCATCACATTCATCAAACTACAGATGTTATAAAAAAAATGGTTGGACTTCTTAGCAGATACTCCTGATTTAAGATGAAAATGATTGTGGAAAATTCTCACATTTTTTCCCCTTTAATCTCCATCTATGTAAAATAAACCATCCCCGTTCAGTCTTTGTGATTCAGTTTAGTCTTTAAATGTTATAATCCAAGTTTGGCATAGTCTACAAGTATTGTAGTCCAAGAGAATGTGCTAATATAAAAGTCAAATGCTAGCAACATGGAAGGAGTATTCCACACTTATTAATTGTGAAAAGACTGCCTGACTCTTTTGCATTATTCTTTGATCAGAATAAAATCAATAATTTTTCAAAACAATGTTCTGTTGAGAGTATGCTATTTGTCTTCTGAAGTACAGTTGAATATCTAGTTGGAAGAAATTACACTAAAAGGACTACTAACATAAATATTTGTGTAACTGTCCTGCAAAATTTCCCGAAATATAATGTAGAAACAGCAGCATACTAAATCTTAGTTCCATGAAAAATCAATCAGTTGTTGTAAGCCAAGAAATAGGTAAAATTTGCAGAATTAATAGCATCATATACAACTTCCATGTTGCTAGTACGATTTAATGTTATAAGTGAGTTGAGACCATGCAAAGGTATTGTTACGTCTCCGTTCGTTAGTTAATTTTCCGTAAATTCGTTCCGACGAAACTTTAGTGACACAAGTTGTGGACTGTCCAAGGCATCTATGAACTGATCCCTCAGCAACAACTTGAGGAGATCGGGTGGTGCAGTTGGGTAGGCCTTGTGTGGCATGCTTTCCAAGTCCTGTGCCAGCTTTTGAAGGCTCTCCACTTTATCACAGACT